AATTTGATGTTCTTAAGTCTGTGCAAAGATATCGCGATTTAACAATTTTCAATTTTGCATTGCATTACTTTTGATCGCCACTGTACATGTGATTTTCCGTCCACAGTCAAAGTTCAAGCAGCTGTTTCACTATGCAAAAATTTTTTGAAAAATTCGATTACTATATTTTATATGCTGGTCTCAAAAAAATATCGTTATAATGTGATTTTGATTTTTTGGTTGATCTTTCGAAACTTATAAAACAATGGTTTGCACAACGAGCAAGTTTTAATCACACAAAAAGGCCGTAGTAAAAAATCGATTTTTATGCATGAAAAAAACAATTGTATACTTATTTAGTGTATTCCGGTCAGTTATTATCGAATCACTTATTTCTGCGCTCGAGGGGTACCACAAATGCATTTACTGCGCCTACTAAAATAGCTCGTGATTTTGACATTGTATCTTTTTATATGTATTAACTGCGTAAAAAATTATATCATCGATGCAACTATAATTCTTTTTATAATCTAAACTCGATTTATAAACTAGTTTCTCTTTAAAAAAAAATGCAAGAACAACAGCCACAAGGACAATCACAAGAACTACAGACTCAACAATTTCAAAACGCCGAAAATGCGTCTATTAATGTTGGTCGAGAATCAAGCCACAGGCCTTCCAATCGTCGAGGATTTCGCGGTGGTCGAGGTAGAGGCGGTAGAGCTCGAGGAAGAAGACCTTATTCACAATATCAGCCACAGCAACAGCAACAGCGACGACCATATCAGCAGCAACAACTTGATAATGTTGACTCTAATTCTGCGCAGGAAGGTGCCGCTGCTCGATTGCGTGCATCCTTAGCTGCTGAGGCTGACAATGACGCTTCTACCTCGAATGCAGATACAAATATTTGTTTTATTTGTGCTGAGAAAATACAATATTACGCCGTATCAAGTTGTAATCATCGAACTTGTCATATCTGTTGCTTGAGACTGCGAGCTCTGTATAAAACGCAAGATTGCACTTTTTGTAAGGTAACCATAACAATGAATCATAGAAATTTTGATCAACTTTGATCAAGAAGTAAAATTGTGAGCTTTTTTTGCTATTTCTATTTTCGATCTAATTAATTATTCAAAGAGAAATCATAAAAAAAATCACTTTTACTTGACACTGCTATTACTACTAACAATAATAATCTTCTAATTATAGACCGAGCAACGTCATGTTATATTTACTACTGATCCTGAAAAACAATACCAAGATTATAAGACGGGGGAAATACCATATACTGATAAAAAATTAAATATCTCTTGCGAGACCGAACAAATGCTCGATGACTCAATTTTCCTCCTGAAATATAATTGTCCTGATCCAGCTTGTGTAATTACTTGTGAAGCAGGCTGGCCAGCTCTAAGGCGACATTGCAAGCAAGTTCACAACAAACTCCTATGGTAAGCGGGAATCAGTTTATATTTTTTTTTCCATATAAATAAGATTTCTAATTAGCTTCTCGTCAAAATAAGTACTTTATGTACACAATTTAAGAAAGTATTTGCACATGAGCAATCACTTTTCACAAAAAATCAACTTGATCGACATTTCCGGCAAGGCGACCAATATGGCAAATCGGGATTTAAAGGACATCCTCAATGTGAATTTTGTCAGACATCGTTTTATGGTGACGATGAACTATATGAACATTGTCGCGACAGACATCAACAATGTGAAATATGTAAAAAACGCGGCATAAGACATGAATATTATGTGGATTATGACGCTTTGGTGTGTTGGAAGTTTGTTTCTTGTCAAATTTTCATTAATGTTATTATGTTATTTTTTCCAACATTTATATTAAAATATAACATTCAGGCCGAACATTTCCGACAGCAACATTATTTGTGTAATGATCCAGAATGTTTAGCTCAAAAAGTAATTGTATTCGAAACGGACATTGATCTTAAAGCGCATGAGGTGATTTTTTCATTATTCTCATATTTCCAATTACTTTGGAGTGTTAGCTTTTCTTACATTTCTTAGATATTACATTGTTTTTCTTTATAATCATGCTTATGTAATTTTTCCAAATAAGAAATCTGCTATAGTATATATAATTGTCGGTTCAAAGAAAAGTGTTGCAATTATGTAAAATATGTATTAGTATTGATAATATTTCAATCCATGCATTTCCCAGGTAGAAATTCACGGTTCTAATTTTGCTGGTCAAAGAGCAAAACACGAAGCACGACGAATAGAAGTAAACATTTCATACAGTGATTCGCGATTACGAACAAGGAGGCGTAGTATAGAAAGAGAATTACCGGCGACATCTTCGTCAGCATCTTTGTCATCTTCATATAATAACCAATTTCAATCTCAACTTCATTCAATTCGACAGCTTCGTCTTGAATCTGAAGCAAATCGTGCTCGTAATTTACAGCTTTCGCCTTCTCGAGAAATATCCTCCACAGAAGATGTTGAACAAACAAATGAAACACAGTCTTCCACTTCGTTGTCTTCTTTAAGGAGTCTAGGCGAAACTCGTGTTGTAGAAACAAAAAATAAAAACGATTTTCCTGCTTTGAACCAATCGACTGCACAGACTGCAATAGCTAAAGGAAGTGCCCAACAAGCCGAACTTATTCAAACTAAAACTGACTCTACTAATCAAGCAAACAAACATTCCTTGTACTTACTTAATAACACTTCTAATAAACAACAAGAAAACTCTGCTGCTGGAACGTCTAGTAGCGGTAAGCAAGAAAACGGAACTCTGACAGAAAATGGACAATCGATAATTGAGAAGCAAACAAAAACTAAAGAAGATATTTTAAATAATAATACAAAGGACAATGATCAAAATAAAAAAACGGGGAAAAAGAAAAAGAACAAAGAGAAAGAGCCTTCAGCTCAACTTCTTTCCCCCTTACCGCAATCGCCTTCAATAAATAATGAAAAGAAAACCGATCAAATCACATCTCTTAAAGGGAAAAATCCTGAACAACCTGCATCTTCAAATTCAATAAATCAAATAATGTCTGTTTCTAAAGCTCCTGCAAACCCGCCTACAATTGTTGGTTATAACAGAGTGGTTGCTCTTGATAAGACTGAGAAAGAGATAGCTGCGTATGTATCATCATTATTATTTTTTCTTGATTTTTAATTTATTTTTCTTCTTACTAATTCTTAACTGTTACGCTTCTAAAAAAGACGACATGCGGTTTATATACAAAGAATTACAGACTTTCTAAATAAGGATGATTCCAAACTATCAAGATTCAAATCCCTTACTTCTGCATACAAAAAGACATTGATTGATGCCAAAGATTTTATCAATGATATTTGGCCTCTGTTCAATAAAAGTTCAGAAATTGTGGGTAAAGTGGTTTCTGGACTAGCCGATTTGTTAGATTCAGAAAGTAGCAAGAAGGATTTATTGAGTGCGTGGGAAGATCGCAAAGCAACGGTAAATATACTAGTTTTTGAAATCCATACTTATATATTATTATTGATTATTATATTATGTTATCTTTAACAGTTAACAATTCACTTTCCTACTCTGGGAAGTGCAACTGAAGGGTCAAAACAACAAAATATTCAAGCGAAAAAGCCCGAATCTGAAACAAAAAAGGCCAGAGTTTTGGTCATAAAATCTTCTACACATCCACCAAACAGTCCTGTATGGGATAGAAATCTGAATTCTGCTCCTAAGCCTAAGATATCCCATGGCAAGCACAATACCAGTTTCCCGACATTGGCAGCAGCTACCGTGGTAGGAAATTCTGGAATAAACAGTTCGACAAACAACGCTTGGAAAGGCAACCGGCCTCAATTCATAAGACCTGAATCATCAAAGGCTAGTGCATCTGAAAGCGCTTCATCAAGTGAACAATCAATTGGTTTCCGTCGAGGAAAACCAATTACCAATGGAAGTGAAGATTTCCCATCACTTAACAAAACGAAATCATCTACTTCAGAGAGACAAGCCGGAGATTCGGCTCGTGATTCTTCAGCTGAACGTAGTTCCGAGCCTGAAGAAGAAGCCCCGAAGGAAAAACGAAAGGTCAAAAAACAAAAACAAAAGCAGAAGCAAGTTTTGTTTCGCCTTGGAGCTTCGCTTTCAGAACAACCTGATATTTAAATATTATGATAAATTATATACTGCTCATCCGTTTATATTACTGCTACAATATTCGTTTGGAATTCCAATCATATAATTTATAATCTGTTTGAATAAATAACAATGTTATTTGAAGTTAAACATTAAAACAACAAATTTAATATTAAATATGTGATGGTGACTGTGAGGTTCGAACTCACGCCCACTTGCGTGGACTGCGACCTGAACGCAGCGCCTTGGACCACTCGGCCAAGTCACCCTTTTTAGATTTGGCTTTATTAATATAATAAAATGATTAACTTTATATTTATATGTGACTAGGATGATGATCGATCCAATTGACGCGGCAAAGAGCTAGGCTATAAAAAGTTGCAACATCGTGAGAAAAATAAATCTATCCACAACCACTTTTAATTTCAGCTCTTCCTATTTCCTGTATATCCTAAAGCCTATTTTCTTCCATGAACCAAGATCGATTTCACCACACGCCAATTATTTTTGATCCAAATTTCAATTCATCACTTTCACAATACCTTCAATCATGTCCTCAATTGTTTGGATATAGATTAACGGAAGTCGCGCAACAGAAGATCTTGGCAAGGCTGTTTTCCGAGTTCTGGTCTCGAGATAAAAATTATGCAAAACTGTTTTTCCCAAATGGATTTGGTGAAGGCTCTGAAGCATATAAATTGATTCACACTCAAAGTGACCTTGAAGTAGAGTATTCGCCTGCTCAAAGGGGTAAAGCTTGTGGTCACATCTTCAAAAAAGGTGAAGGCGTTTATCGATGCAGGTAAAATACAAGAAAACTGCTGTTTTCTATAATTTCGATTTGCACTGACATTGGATTTCTTTAGAAATTGCTCTTTAGATGCTACATGCGTCTTTTGTTCGCGCTGTTATCATGCAACAAATCATGAGGGACACGATATAAGCTTTTCAATTAATAATGGGCATGGTGGGTGCTGTGACTGTGGTGATCCAGAGGCTTGGAAAGTACCGATTCGCTGTACTTATCATTCACCAGATCCTTCAGTGGTAGAATCATTGGAGAGCGAGAAGAAAAGATTTGAGGAAAATCTTCCACAAGACCTTATTATCTCGATTCATAATACAGTATCGACAGTATTTGAATTCATATTGGACACTTTATCGACGTCCCCCAAGGAAAAGACGCCACCGAGATCAGTTGACGAGGTAAAACAAGAGGCTTTAACTACTACATATGCAATAGATAAAGATGCAAACGAAGATACGGAACAAGAGAAATTGTTCGCGGTGTTACTTTGGAATGATGAACATCATTCTTTTCATGAGGTCATTGACCAGGTTACTGCTGCAATTGAGTGTTCCAATGTTGAAGCAAGACGTATAACTGAAAGAGTCGATTTTTATGTATGTGTTGTTTCTTTATCAAGAAAAATAAAAGCAAGGAAAATATTTTAATCAATTTTAATTAATTTGAATTAGGGTCGTGATATTGTTGAGATATCTGAAAATATTCAAAGACTGCTCGAGATAGCGCGTCAGATATCATCAATTGGTCTAGCTGTTACTATTCGTTCTGCGCGCGACACTTTTCGAGAAGAAATGTGCGGCCTATTGATTGACTGGCTCAAAGATTTAGCAACTGGGCAAATCGGCACACATCCTACTATATTAAGAGATATAATTTGCAAAGAACTTACGAAAGAATGGAAAAAAGATCATTCAACTTATTATCCACATAACGCATTGAGATTAAAGAATCAACCTGTAAAGCCGATACAACCTTATATGATTAAAGCTCAACCTCTTATGGGTGTGCAAGACAATATTGAATATATGATTGAAGATGATGTAATGGAAAGAAGTGAAGAAGACGAAAGTGGACAAATTGACCAAGATCAATTAAGTGATTATAATCAATCTGGTGGTGATTATGAAATGATCGCAGCAGATGAATTGCTAGACGAAACAGAACCAATGGACGAAGATGATCCTATAATGATAAAACAAAAACAAAAGGCGGATGATTTTTTGAAAGTGCTTAGACTAGATGTATTATTGACTTTGGACCATAGACTCTGGAAAGATGCGCGTTCTGGATTGAGAGATTTATATATTTCCACTCTTATTATAAATTCAGAATACAAAAAAATATTGGGTATATTACCACATTCTGTTGTCCATTTATTTTAATATAATGCCTTCCTCGATTTCTAATCCAATAAACATCGATCTTTTTAGGAATCCGATTTGTGCGAAATTATATGAAGCTTGTAGATGCTTTTCTGACACAAGATCGGGAACCCGAACATTCGATCATCCTATTTACAGTGCAATTATTCACCGTCCCTACCATCGCAACTATATTAGTTAAAAACTACAATTTCCTATCAACAATTTTCACAATACTACGCAACTTTTTCATCGCAAATCAAATCGATGGACTAGGAAATATCGAAAGTAACGCGAAACTCAATTGCGAATCAGATAGCTTTAAAAATCGGCGTTACTTTCACATATTTTGTGATCTCCGTTATATAATTGGAATGGAAAGTGTACGAAAGATTGTCTCAAGAAATTCAGATAATTTACAAGAGTATCTCGATCTTATTGGATTGTTTCAAGGAATGAATCCTAACATACGTGCAACACAACAACATGTGGAATACGAAAGCGATAGCTGGATGAACGCATTTAATGTGACGTTGCAGTTAGCAAAAAGTTGTCGCCAGTTTTCTTCATGTTATATCTCAGATACGCAGCTTTTGACCGAAGCAATACGCAAAGTTTTGTGGAAAATTTATCTCTGGTCATCGAGACGCGATATCAAAAGTGAAAACGAGGAGGAAAAAATGGACGTGACAAGTGACAATGCTCAAGAAATAGAGACCAGTGTCAATCGTATTCGTGGTCATACCCAACAAACACATGACATTTGGTCTTCGGTATTGAATTATCCCGATAATAGAAAATTGGAATTAAGACAACAAGAATTTCACGAAATTAGTTTCCCCTCTAATCCTTATATCCCCACATTCAAAGTAGTAAAGTTTAACGTTGCCTCACAACCAGTGAGCTTCCATCATCCACTGCACTGGTTCTTGGGCGAACTATTAGAACACATTGAATTATTAAACGACGAGGCACTTGTACAACATGGTTGGGATAGTTTCCAAGATATGATGATGAGTTTTGATGTGGAAAATGATGAAGGTATTGATAAAGCCAAGGAAAAGATCCTCGAAATTTTTGACTATCCTTTACGTGGTAAGTAAATTTGAAATTTACTCACGTAATAATAATCAACGATGACAAGCTAATTAACTCTGACGACTGACATGTGTATTTTGTAAGTGTTGGTTTTGCTGGTACAAATTCGTTCTGGATTATGGGTTAGAAATGGATTTGGTATTCGTGGACAAGTAAGCAAACAAACTAACCATTCTTTAATTTAATCATGTTATCCTAGTTCTAATGCCTACGTTAATTTATTATTTAGTGTCTTCATTATCGCGAAGTCTCTCTTCGAGAAAATACTTACGATGAAGATATATTTTTAATTCAAACCGCTTTTATTTTAAATGAACCAAATTTGATACTTGCTACCATTTTGGATCGTTTTGATATGGTCGACTGGTTTTGTGGCAAAACTTCGCATCAAGTATATGACAACCTGCAAATGATATTTATGGCCGAAGAACTTTTGACACTATTAATTGTATGTGCCAGCGAACGTGGAATTGCTGCAGGATTGACTAATGAACAGAAAATCCGGCGAGAAATAATCCATAGTCTCTGTCTCTCGCCACTTGCATATTCCGAGCTTATTAAACGTATTCCAGAGAGACTTCATGAAGAGATATCTTTTGATGAAATATTGGGACAACTTGCTACCTATCGTAATCCTGATAGTCTTACTGATCATGGCACCTATGAACTTCGTGACGAGTTCTATGATGAAGTAGATCCATATTTCGTTCATTACTCTCGTAACAATCGAGAAGAAACGGAAGAGGCGTTAAAAAATAGACTTAAAAAGAAATGGGAAGCATCTAGCATACGTTCTTCAGCATCCTTGATCATTCCCAAACTAATTCCAATAACAAATGGACCTTTTGTCAGATTAGGAAATTTTTTGCAAGCGCGACTTATGAATCAAATTATATTTTACGCTTTATGGCACGTGAAAAATGACAAGATTAAATCGGATACACTTATTGATGAGGCATTACATTTAGTGATGCTGGCTTTGATAGATGAAAATAACGACATTGCTCGAGAAAGTAAACGTAAGGGAAAACAAAAGGCCGCATCATCTTTATCATCCCAAAATAGGATTAATTTGGATGATAAAATATCTGATTTCATGCATTATGCAGTTTCTGATTATTTTCCAGTTGAAATTGATTCAGCATATCACCCTGAAGGAATTAACCTCCTGACTCTTTTACTTCAATTATCCATCGACTCAATATCCAAAGAATTTTTACCGAAATTCGAATTCATCATTAATAACTTCGAGACAAATGGTAGTGAGGATGCTAAATTGATAATCCGTGCACATCGCGAAAAGCAACGCGCTGAATTACAAGCCAGAGAAGGTAAAGAAAAAGGATTATCAGATTTCGAACGTAAAAAACTTGCAGCAAAAGAAAGACAAGCGAAAATTATGGAACAATTTGCAAAAGCTCAGAAAAGTTTCATTGAAAAACACGAGGATTTATACGAGGAAGATGAAGAAATGGATGAAGATTGGGAGGTTGCTGCTGAGGAAGGTCATTTAGGAGACAAAGAGAAACAAAATACAGAGACTATCTGGTCATATCCTACAGGCACGTGTATTTTGTGTCAAGAAGAAACTAATTTGTCAGCGCTTTATGGAATGCTCGGATTGATCCAGCCATCCAACATGTTGAGAATAACTCCATTCCATAACAAAGATTATGTAATGGAAGTATTGGATCTGCCAGAAAGTTTGGATCGTAAATATGAACGTAATCAACCATTTGGTGTTGCTTCAAAAGCTTTCTCAATGCATGAAGATCTACAATATGAAACAAGATTGCAAAATGATTTGATCAAAGGATTTCCAAGTAAATCGTGCAAAAAAGGATTATACGCGTCAACATGTGGACACTTAATGCATGTTAAATGCTTTGAAACTTATTTCGCTTCGATAGAGCAAAGACATCAATCACAATTAGCAAGAAATCATCCAGAAGAAGCGACACGTAAAGAATTTATGTGTCCGCTTTGTAGAAGCCTTGGAAATGCTTTACTCCCAATCGTTTGGAAAGGGAAGAGAGAGACTTACCCTGGAATTCTTGAATCGAAAGTCGATTTTGAAAAATGGTTAAATGAAGGGGTTGGAGACGTTATAGATGACTTGAGTCGAATCCCTGAAATCAATGCAACGCCACTTATTCCCGGGATAGATAGAATTCGATCTAATCCTTCCGCCGCCGAATTAACTAGTGGTGGCCGTTCAACAGATGAATTTCGTGAAATGGGGAATAATGTAAACTTACCGGACAATTCTCAGAATACTCAAAGACGTCGGAATAGTAGTAGTGCTGGCAGAATTCGAGAGGTTATTACACAGTTTGTGACAGATATGTGGAGAGCTCCCCCCGCCTTACCAGCAGTTTCTGATGTTAATAATGCTCAAGAAATAAATAATGCTCACATGGATCCATCAACCCTTAGTCCTGCTGCTGTACCCGAGGAATATGATCATGAATCGATGCGTAGAATATATGTACGTTTATATGATGTAGTTCTTTTAGCCTATCAAAGACTACCCAATGAATCTTCGTTTATTGTTAATGATAACACAATGAAAGGGATCGATATTTTGTGGAATCTTTATAGCTATACAATTTCATGTGTTGAAATTAATCAAAGAGGAATTGACAGTTTGTCGAGCGAAGGATTACCCGCCACAACTCTCTTAGATGGAATAAACACAAAAACTTTGACTCTATTAAAGATCATCTCTGAAACCATTCCTACTTACTCTGATGTAACATTAAAAGGAGCATCTAGTAAGTCAAAGTTAAAGCGTATTACCACCAGAAGACTCAGTCAACTATTTTATGGATGCCTTGAATCTCAAGGTCAACAAACTCCCATGACAACCACCACTGGTCTCGGTGGTAAAGATAAGTCAATAGTAAATTCACATGATTATCCACTGCTGTTAGAAGATTCATTTATATTCCTATCGGAACTTTGTGTAACATCACCTGACTATGGCATTCAATCTGAAGTTCATAATTTAATGCATTTAATGTACTATGCCGAGTTAGTCAGGATAGTAATAGCAGTTAGTGATGCGGTTATCAATGAACAGGCAAAAGCATGGTGTGAGGATGCACGTCTTAAAAGGAAGTACTTCACTCAAACACAACAGCAAAGTTCATCAAAGAATAAACAAGAAGCATCCAACTTACTTCGAGACTTTATAGTATGGACATTGGAGCAAGTGGGAAATAATAAAATAGATATTTCTAATTTCTTGGGAGGCATGGACGAGTTGGTCTTGGAAAAAATGATACATTCTTTTTGTTTACCATATCTGAGAAAATGTGTCATTTTAATGCACACAAAATTTGGTGTGGTTTTCCCGAAAGCTGGATTGGAAATATCAGAGGCTGTTGATGAATTCACAAGACTTTCTCAACTATTGAGATTACCTTCCATCAAAGCGATGTGTGCCACAATGCTCAACCCCACCGAGGAAGAATCTACGTTGGTGGTTATTGTGAGCGGCTGGTGCAAACATCTCAAACAACGGCGGATCGAAGTTAATCGCGTAAAATCTACGCCTTTAACCTCTCAAACTATTTCTTTTGGCAGTTTCCCTGCCATTTTTAGTGGTTCCTCCTCCTCCTCCTCTTCCTCATCATCATCATCATACTATACGCAACCACAGCCACAACTGTCAATAAGAATTAATCATCCCGCAATATTTGAATTGGTGGGATTACCACAACGATTGGACTTGTTGTTTGAAGAGAGCCTTCGTAAAGTTTGTCGAAAATGTAAAACTGTTCCAAATGATCCAGCTTTATGTCTATTATGTGGAACTTTCTTGTGTTTTCAAAGTTATTGTTGCTCAGAACGTGATTCTGGGGAATGCAATTTGCATGCAAGAAGGTAGGCTTTCTTTACACTTATTTATTTGTATAGGAAATGGTAATAATAAAATATTCTTGATATGAAACACAGTTGTGGCGGCGATGTCGGAATTTATTTCCTTGTCAAAAAATGGGTGATCCTCTTGCTTCATCTTAATAATGGCTGCTTCATGAACCCGCCATATTTGGATAAGCATGGTGAAGTGGATCTGGGATTGAAGTATGTATTGTGTTAAAGTATTTTATCTACATAGATGCTATATTGAATACTAGACTGTTAATTATTATTTGCTACTTTTAAATTTATAGACGTGGGCGACCGCAATTTCTAAATCTTAAGCGATATGATGAATTCCGTAATTTGTGGCTTACTCATGAAATTCCAATACGCGTAGCACGAAAGATCGAACAGTCTTTTGACTTGGGTGGATGGTCAACTTTTGATTTGGGTGGATGGACAACTATGTAAAATAATTCAACTTCCAAAAATTTCGATTATTCTATAATCTCATCTTGTAATTACTAGACTAGTAATAAATTTAGTAATGTAGAATGTGTTTTATTTTTTGCTTATTTTTAGTTTCATTTATTCAATAATATTAATAGTAATAATAAAAATGAATTATTTTTATTAATAATACATGCGTACTCTTCTTATTCTTAATAATATTTATAATTAAATTTAACTTTTAACAAATATTTGATTTACGTCGTAGACGATATATTCATTATTCTTAATAATATTTATAATTAAATTTAACTTTTAACAAATATTTTTGGAATATTTGATTTACGTCGTAGACGATATATTCATTATATTGAAGATAATTTGCATTATTCGAGTTAATTCCTTTTCCGCATGGCACCACTGTCCCATTTTCCAAAGTGATAGATCCATTCGGATTTGGGATAGTCAGTCCTAGACCTTTGGTGCAGTGTTTGCCCTCCTTTTTCACGAGTCTGTCGGCGTTATAGTCAGCGTCTACTAATTCCAACATATCACCTAATGCAACTTCGCATAATAGCATTAACCCGATGTTATTTTTATTGTCTGTGAAGCAATAGTTTGCGGATTTTGAGACACAATCAGCAAAGTATACTCCTTTGCCAAACATGTAGCCGGTACTCGGAACGTGAGGTGGTGCAATTCGTAATCCCTGAGAGAGAATGCTATTTAAAAATCATTATTAGTTATATATATATATATGTATGTATGTATGTATGTAATTCGAATAAGTAAACAAGATATAAAGTACATACCCAGCGTAATTAGTCTTTCGACTGCCATGCCAAAGTAGCATTCGATTATGGAAATCCGAAAAAGGCTTGTAGCGTTCTCGTTCACCCTGTCGTTCCAAGTCAAAGACCTCCAATACTTCCAACTTATATTGATCGTGCGTGGCACCTTGGGTATTCTCGACATATTTAAGTATTAATTTGAATTCTTCGGAATTATGATCCAATGGCTCCATGGTTTCCAGCATGAGAGAATCGTAATACGCGTCAAGTTGATTTTTGGACGATTCGTTAGCTTGATTAAGTAAAGCTGACGCAATTTCAATTTCACCCAATGTTTCGACCATTTGTAATTTAAGTTTCAAAACCTCGTTGCTACTGATGATTGGAGGTTTTCTCATTCCAAAATTGTGCGGAATGACCGTGTAAAATGCATTGGAAAGTTCAGTAAGGTCGCCTTGCTCTTCACCATTAAGAACAGCTGCGATGCGTTTCAAAGCGAGATATCCTTGATTGACTGTAGCCTTTGAGAGTTTACCAAGTGGTAATTTTGATGCATCGTAATTCAACGCGATCATTGTATCATTCCATGAACCAACATCAAAAATCATTTGAATTATATCTTGAACTTTTGGATGTAATTTCGATTCCCGGGGTTTAGTGACTATTTCTTTCTCTTTTCCTGCAGTGGAGGCAGCAGCAGCAGTAGATGATGCTGATGGTGACGATGATAATTTAGGTTTCTCTTCAGTACCGTCTCCTCCATAATCACGCTCCAATAAAGTGTATTTTGATTTAATCGGGGTAAAAGCGGAGATATTTTTGCATACATCAAGCCAGCGGTTTCTCGTTTTATCATAAAACTTCCTTTGAAATTCGTGTTTTGCGCTATCCAAAGATGAGGTTGGCCCATAAGTAGCACTTGTACCATTATAACCAACTCTTCCCCATCGGGTGAATACGTAATAATTAGTGCCAGAATCAGATTGAAGCAATTGGATGACAAAGTATTTATTATTGTTATTTTTTACATTCGTTTGATTCAAAAGACAATCCCAAATGGCTTCTTCATCCACAAATACATGAGTTGTATTTTTATATTGGAATGATGAATCAACCGCCGCTGCACCTTTTTTAATTATAGTCACCATTTTCTTTTCCTCTTCAATCGTCTCTGCGATATCGGTGACTTTGAACAATGAATCATTAGTTGAAGTAGCAATAGCGGTAGTAGTTGTTGTGGTGTTTGTTGTTGTTGTTGTTGTTGTTGTTATATCTTGAGCTTTTTTTTTGGCTGTACTTTGTTCATTTATAGCTACTGGCGCGATGTCTGCAACAGAGGTTTTGACGTCTACGTTGTCATTATCTTTTTCATTTGACAGATTTTTGGGTTTTCGTCCCCTTTTTCGTGTCGTTGTAACAGTTGCAGCTTCAGGTGCTGCGGCATTGTAAGAATTCGCAGAACTTTTGCTCTGTCGCTGGCGTTTTTTGGCTGGTTTCGCTTGTTCATTATCTGATTCATTATCTCTTTGGTTGAGTATTTCCTCGGAGACGATTTCTTTATTTTCAATTTCATCATTTCTAGCATCTACCATCGCCACCTCATTCACGTCATTAATGTTGTCGTCATTATTTTGGTTCACTGGCGAAGAGGATGGGTTGCCTGAATTTGAAAACCTCGATCGAGTAGTAATAACGGGAGTATCATAAGTAACGTCCTTTCTTCGACGTTTGCTGCCAGGTTTCGGTTCCGTTTCATCTTTATCGTTCGCTCGAGTTTCATTGATGTCGATTTCTTTGTGAGAAGCACTTACGGATTTTGCGTTGCTGATATTATCGACACCCTGCATTTCAACCTCAGTCGAGGTATTTGCTGTATCATTAACGCCAAGATGAAAGGCCGTCTCTGCAAGCTTCATTCCCTTTTCAATGGACTGCTGTATCCAGTCCCAAGTCACAAAAGACACATCGTTTTTACGCGCGGTCTTCACCTTATTACTAGGTTTCATGAAGTCGTCTTTCGTTACCACCAAGTGTGTAAGCGACTTATTCACATTGGCGATTACTTGCCCACCATTTTGTCGTACCAGTTCGCCGAGTTGTGAGTGTGATCCTGTCTCGAATTTACCAGAGAAGGTTATCACACATTCAGAAAATATATTTGACATTGTTGGAAAATTTTTTGGTCGTAAATTTTAAGTCACAATTGAACGCGTTGTGATTTTATACTGAAGATCGGGACGCAGTAATAATCAGGACGCATTATGCAGTGTCAGTCCTATCGTTTGACCATCGTTTTTATTATTGCATGTAAAAGAACCTTACCCGCATACTCGTGTTTCGACATATCATTCGTGTGACTTGTCTTTAAAGAACCTTCCCCACATACCCGTGTTTCGACATATCATTCGTGTGACTTTGTCTTTTAAAAGAACCACATACTCGTGTTTCGACATATCATTCGTGTGACTTGTCTTTTAAATAAAGTAAAAACTAAGACATCTATTGTGAAAGGAATTTTTGTTCAGTTTTAGGTGGATGTTTCTTTGTCTGAGTTGATCAGATCAAATGATAACGACAAAAACGTGGGAAAATAATTATTTGGATAATGATATATTTTTAAAGAAATGTATAATTTATATTGTATCAAATCTTAAACTGGGACGCGCGCGATCAAATCACGATGTGATTATTTTAAAATGTACACGCCACCTTGGGCTGCTATGAAAGAATACGCATTGAAGGTTTTATTATCTGAGGTGTATATTATTTTTACAATTATGCTATGCGAGAGTGAGTTCTCAATGCGAAAGTTCATCATTGCTTAATTTTTGATGGGGAGCAAAATAAGCAAGTTGATATATCGAATACTTATAATATTATTTCTATACAGACAAAATTTCAGAGATTAATATAAGACACTCGGAAAATGATCTTAATATCACATCCAAATTTGATTGATGATGTTATTATTTATTTTATCACTAATAAGTATACTGTATGGGACGAAGTAACTGCTAACAGGTATTGTGTCAAATTCATAATTATTAGCTGTCAATTTAGATGACAAGTCAAATATCCCTGCCATTAATCCTCCAGAATCAAAAACATACTCTTCATGTCGTGACACAGAATTCGATCGACATCTACGAAAAGGCCGAACACCGATCTCTTCTTTTAGCTCGTGACCTCTGGAATTTTGACAAAATTTTACCGGGGGGGGGGGGGGAAAGGGGGGGGTAAATATAGGATATATTAAAGAGAAAAAGAATATTATTATACGAATCGATATTACTTATTACGCATTTTCGATTTGTAATCATCTTCATCATAGTGCTTTCTTTTTGATGCAAAATCACCTGGATTTTTTGATCGCGATACCCGTAATCCAGCCAATCAATTAAGACCGTAAATTCATGAGAGAAATTTGTAAAATAATAATAATAACCATCATCAAACCCAACATTCATCAACAAACTCTTTTTACTAGACCGACAAAGGTACAACAATAAACACCTAAACTTTTTATCCTAGTTCCACTAGAAAAATGACTGCTTCCGTTGACACCTTGCTATTTCATGAAAAAGAGGAGGTACTCTGTTTCCATGGACCGCTTTTGTACGAGGCTAAGGTAATTAAGTGATATCACAAAGTTATTATCCGTGAGAATGATATGTCGCCATTCGCGGAAGATCGATAAAGGACCGTCTTCGCGGGAAGACATAAACTATTCTTTTGAATTATCAATTTATCTCGAGCGAAAAAAAGGTGTTTAACAGATACACGCGTTTTGTTTGAAAAAACCCTAGGTCTTAAAAGCAGAGATATGGCATCCGGGTGATTCTGAAACGGGTGATACTGGTCCTCATTATTATGTGCATTATAAGGGATGGAAATCAAGGTGGATATTCCGTCTTCTGAGAGAATTGTTTTATCCCGCAGTTAGCATTCGGAGAATTTGCCAAAATATTTATCTTTTTTCTACGTCTTTTTAGTTATGATGAATGGGTGCCAAATGAACGGGTATTAAAATTATCGCAAGAAAATCGCGACAGACAAAAACAACTCAAAGAACAATACACACCGAAAAAGAAGAAATCAAGTATGAAGCCAACATTAACTAAAACCCCATCTGAAGAGGAATCTTCAACAGGTATCAAAAAGAAACCAGTCACTACGACAAAAGCTGCTGTCTCTAAAGCAATAACAGCACCTTCAAAAGTCTTAGCTGCAGAATCCAAGACTGCCTCATCTAAACCTACCGCAACATCGTCTTCAAAAAAATCTACAATTGAACCAGATTCACATTCAAAAACCGAATCAAAACGTACAAAAAAATCTGATTCGATCACCCCAGCCTCAAAGAAAGGCAAAGAAAAAGAAATCGCAGATCATGCAACCACAACGAAAAATACATCAAAATCCGATGGAACTGATGCGATCGATAAAATAAATGCTGATAACTCGTCTGTTGATCAAGAAACCAATAATGGCAAAGATTCGGATCTTAAAGATGCAGACAAGGAAATATTAGAGATGCTTGAGGAAGTTCCTGAAACAAAATCGACCAAAAAACCTGAGAGCGGTCGCGGAAGACGAAGAAAATACAGTGAAACTGAAGAAGTGCCTCAAGTAAATATATAAAATCAACAAGTCTAACATAAAATGTTCAAATAATTAATCTACTGATCCTTTTGAGCAGCTGCCCACCCCAGAAACTGAGGTAATTGGTTTCAATGAACCTGATATCGATCTTCGCATTCCCGGAGTCTTAAAAACGAAGCTGGTCGATGACTGGGAAAACGTTACAAGATTAAATAAAGTAAGTTGTTGAGTCTACTTTGGTTTTACTCACTTTGAATCAGTGAAGCTATTGATGCGAACTATTGTTCGTTTATAGATAATCTCAGCTCCGAGATCCATCACAATAAACAAAATTCTAAAAGGATGGGCGGTATACCAAAGAGCGGAAGATTCGCCCGATAATAAAGAAAATTTAAAAGATCTTGAAAATCACAATCCTACAGGAAACCTCATTCCACCAGAAAATCATAATTCGTCACATGAACAAGCGGTCTCTCCGGCAGTAAGAGAAGATGTCGACGGAGATATCGAAATGACTGAAGCTCAACCAGAGATCCAACCGGAGGCTCAGACAGAAGAGATCAAAGAAGAATCCAATGAAAATTTTGATATAAACCCATCAACGTCTTCTGATGCTAATAACGAAGTTACGAATTCAACAAACAACGTCGAAGAAAATCAAGAAAAATCACCAAAAGAAGACGAAACAGCTAATAATCACCAAGAAGAGACTATTCAAAGTGCAACCTCCGAAAACAATGCATCGACAAATAATCAACCGGAGGAAGAAATAAAGTAAATATTGCATATATATGTATAGAAATCCCATCGTTATGTAATTTATTGTCTCACAAAATAACCTTTGATGTCTTTTTATTGCAGGGATATCTATTTTGAAGTGGTCAATGGTCTTCGACGTTATTTCGAACGTGCTATCAATTATAACCTTCTATATAACGTCGAAAAGCCTTACCTCGCTGAGTTAAAAAAGAACCACCCTAACACCGATTTGTGTGACATTTTTGGCGCAGAGCATTTACTTCGATTATTGGGTAAATAGATTATCATAAATATGATATGCGAATCATTTAATCATTTGATTGGTTTCTAATTTTTGCTCCGGTTATCTCGATTTGTAGTGAAGTTGCCTTTTTTCTTAGCACAAACAGATATGGACCAGGAATCGACGCAAGAACTAATATTCCGGTGTGGACAGCTCATGAAGTAATTATAGAACATTAGTATCATCTATTTTGTTATGTTTGGTGACTAATGTTACTCGTCATCGAATAGTTACATGATTAAAAACATGGAAGAGTTCTTCCCACCTTCGCCCACACACTATACACCTCAAAGTGAACCCGCAGCGAAGCGGCACATGAATAACAATAGAAAGATTACGAAACCGTCGTCATCATGGAAGAATCAAGGTAATTAATTCTAAAATGATCGTGATCTTCATTATTATTGATTATTCAATATTATTTATTTCACATTTTACAGAGGGATTGGTGTGCGCGAACTGCAAAACTACAAATACACCAGGATGGCGAGTCGGTGCCACTCAAGACGAAAAATTATGCAATGGTATTTCTTGATTCCTCCAACACCGCATAAACTTTGACATTCCACTAATTTATATTTATTCTATTTTATCATAGCTTGTGGTCTCTATTATAGCAAACACAAGCAACATCGACCTGAGCACTTGTGGGGAATCGTGCGTTCAAAACGCCAATCATAAAAACGTTGGTCATAAAGAAGTACCCGAACACGCATATAGTTGATATAAAAATTTTCAAAATTTATCATTTCTTGAAATTCTATCATTGTAGCACACACCAAATATTAATTTTTTGAATGGTGGTGGATGATAAGATGAATAACCTATTAGTAAATTAATAGGCAAAAAAAAAAAAAATAGTAATAACTAATAATAATGTAAGTAGCAGTAAGAGGACAATAATAAAAGTATATCAAATTTGAAAGAAATTTAATCCGCTGATATGAAAAACTACGTACGATATTAATACATAATGACGCTGAAAGAATATCTGAAGATTTGATAAATGAATAAATCACTTGTGCTGTAGTGGTATATTAATTCGAGTGTTATTTATTATACATACTTTATCCAAACAAATCTAATCCCATATCCTCGTCAGACTCCTCTTCTGGCTCCTCTTCCTTTGGAGCAGCTGTAGTGGCTCCAGGAGTAGCAGCAGTTTCCGCAGGAGCAACAGTAGCAGCGAAAGCAGACGGATCGGCCAAATATTCCTTAATCTATTATGATTATTAATAAAAGAAATAGTAAGTTGCGTTAAATCGGACCCCAAAAAAACATCTCGTTTAAAACTCGCAAGTCATCAGTAAAAAATTAGAGTGATTATTTTTTCTTTCATTGATGCGATTTTTTGTCTCCAACAAATCTTTTATATTTTCATCCTTTGATTACTAAATTATCCTCACAAAAAAATTGCAGAATATAAAATTGGTTACCTTCTCAGATTGAGCAAAGGTGTACTCGGTCGCGACAGAGATAGCCAACAAATCCTTGTAGCCGTTAATAAGTGAATGTGGCACAGAGGCAATAGTAGGATAATTTATACGAAGAGAGAGTGCGGCGATAGTTTGGATTCCGTTTAATAGATGATCGATCAAAGTCCTCTCTTCAACATCAAGCACAGAAGGATGGAAACAGGCACCATTGTCGTAAATTTGAAGAACACTCATGCCGTAAGTGAATGGTGAGATGTTTAACATGTTCAGTAAGGTAGCTTCGGAAGCACCGACTTTGTTCCCAGCTTTGACCAAGTGAACATCATTGATAATTTCGATTGTACCACGAGCAATCTTTGTTGGTACACCGAGAGCTTGGAAAAAATTAGTCTTACCCGGCTCCATACCCGTGTTCCCAGCAGGAACAAACACATCAATCGGGGCAACAGCGCCAGCTTTTGCTGGAGCTTTAACCTATTATACAACATTATTATGTATTTACGATTTAATATATTCAAAAATGATCACATTTCTCGTAATATTTCACTTACCCTATTAGACAAGATTAAATCTCTAGTTTCTTTCAAATCACCTTTTGTAAACACAAAGCCGATGTTCCCCTTAACATGCGGCATCAACCTCTCATACTGTGGATATTCACTAATCAACCCTTTAAGACAACTGCGCACCATCGTATTCTTTCCCATCAAAACAACAGCACGACCACGAAGAGCATGACGGATCTGATGCATCTGATTCGATCCGACATTATCCACGTTCACGATAAATATCGAGGGATATTCCTCGAGCAAACGACGAAGTCTTTCAAAGTATTCGGATTTTTTGGTGCGACCGCCTCCCTTTGACATCTTGAATAATTTAAGTGTTTATTGGCACGATCCAAGTGTTTCAAGGGGATCCAAAATTATTTGGAAGCTTAGAGACAAGTCTGAGCAAACATAGATAGATAGATAGATATATATATATATATTAATTTAGAGTTTACAAAAAAATTTTGAACTTTTTTTTGCGCGTTGAAAAAGTAAATGACTTTAAAATCAATTATTAATGAGAAGAATAAGGATGATTCCATTCTCTCATATCTGTCAATATATCGCGACTTTTTGATGGATGATCTAACCAAAGTTCTTACCGTTTGAGCGAAAAATTATGTTTAAAAAAAATGTAACTGTAACTTGTCAATTTTTTTCTCAAGTCCTAAAAATTTACATCAAATCATATTGCTATCACGTGATATCACATCAGAAATTTCTGTCAATATTTATAATATTTTCCTTAATAATTTAGAAATACATAACATAATCATAAAAATTAGATTAATAAAGTCAGCCAACACCATCAATCATGCAAAAAGCGACGAAATCTTCTATAGTAATAATAATTAATAATTAATTGAATTAAAAGCAAGAGAATTAACATCAAGAGGACATTGGTTCAACACTAAAAGATGAACCGGGATTCCCAAAACCTGTTGATTGCGACGAAGGAGGAAAAAATTCACTAGCAAAATCGTGAATTTTTTGTTGTTCTTGTTGCTGTTGTTCATGGTGTGTTTCTTGATCTCCCTCTTGTGTAGTCACCATATTGTCATCCACTGTATCATCCCTGGAAAAAATAGAAAATTTCAATATCACACATTTCTATATATCTCATACAATGATCTATCAATTTACCATCTAATAGGAACCCTTGTCACGCGAGGTTTATCCGCCAAAATATTCTTGTATAATTTATCAAGAAGAAGTTCTTCTGGCGGATTTTCTCTCATTTCCTCATCCCTATACTCATTATTGACATAATAACCAACACGCACAAACTCTTGATTTCGAAACGAGCATGTGATGATTACCACTGTAACGCCGAGAATATCGTGTGGTGGTATTTTAGTGTGATCGGCTGGAGGAACCTAATAATTATTTTTTCAGTGATTTACTTGGAGAAGTGACAAAAAAAGACGCTAATGAGGTTTAATCTCTTACCTGGAATAAGAATTTATTTATGCCAACTGGAACCGGTCCCACCATAATGCTATCTAGCACTTGGTCATATTCTTCACTTTCAGGTGAACCAACGTAGATAACCTTCCATTCCAAATCTGATAAAATGAGAGAATGATGATCATTGGATATTAAGAATCTCAGATTATGCCAGCAGCGAGAAATTTTTAAGAAAAAAAGGGGTGTTGTAATATTAAGTATAGCGGGACGACGCGTATCCTCTCAATAAAAAGTTTTCCAAAAAAACGCGTATATATACACACACACAGATATTACTCCCCCTTCATTATTGACGAATTAAATAAAAATTTCATCACGTAAATGTACAAACATACCTTCATTCAACTCTGTAATGCACTCAAAAGTAATTTCAAACGAAAACTCAGTTGTGAATAACGCGGGGTTGTCCAGTACTTTGATGTCTGTTATGTTGACAATACTCATTTTGGTGATGTTGAATTTTTACAAATTGCTACTGCAAATTTAATATATTATTAAATATTAAAGGCTGTCATAGAATGAAAAAATTTCGGTGTTAACGTTAAGAAGAGATGTGATTAAACGCGACTTTCTGATATTCGTATATTCGTTGTACTTATTGTTCATAAATTTGATTGGCGTGATACAAGTATTACTAGTATTACTGCGTATCTAGTATTACTGCGTATTATGCGAGTCGCTCCCTTATTATAAGTTTAAAAAATTGAAAATCTAAATTGACTAATTTTTTGTCTTTAATAAACTGCCTCAAGGTACTTATTGATAATACATCTGCAAATTTCATGATAATCTGATTCTTTTTCAGAAACTCTATAGGTAACATTCTTATTGAAATGATTAAGAAATTTTCAGGCTATAACTTAAAAAATGAACAAAAAGTATGAGTAAAATTTCTTTGCTACTCGATATTTTAAACACGTAATCACGTGATTTGATGTACCCTATTAGTGAGTGTGTTGATTCAAAATTTTGAAAATTGCGAAACATTTCATTGCTTGTTAATGGGGCATCCTTTTCCGGAATTACTTCGAAAATCACGACTTGCTACATTTGATCCTGCAATACCGCAGGTTTACAAAACATATGGGGCTTTCAAAAAACGTGGCGACTGGGGTTTAAAACGAAACCTTCCGAATATATTACGTACTGACGTAATAACCGTTCAAGCTCTTGACACCGTAGAGCATCAAACTGACTTCAAAAGTGCACGAAGCTTAGTAGGATTTGCTCGAAAATGGAAGGAACTATTCAAAAATTCCAAACCACCGCCACCGATGAAAGAAAACCTTGAAAAAAACATTACCCAAATGTCAGAGCAAAAATTTGAAAATTTTCTTAGAAAAGTCGAAAAGAAGAAGAGTGAATGGGACGCACTAATGGACAAACCCATCGATATACTGGGCTTCGTGAATGCTTCCGAGGATATAAACCCGACACGTGTCTGTGGACTGACGTATTCCAATTGTAATCCGGGTACTAATGTGAAAGTGCAAGGACGAATATTAAATAGGGATTCATCGTTCACTGGGTATGCTGTTGGTTTGGCCGGTATTGTCGCTTATTTGCCGACAAGAAAATCGAATCGTGTTGGTAATATTGATCATCAAAAAGTGTATAATTTCTTTGTGGAGAAAGCGGAATTCGATGCGCAAGGGAAACCGAATGTTCAGTTATCGCAAATTCCACCGTATTCAATGTATAATAATTTAGGTTTCTTGGAGCCTGGTGAAAAGAAAACATCATTTTTTGAATCTGCAAGTATTGGTAACAGATGGAATGAAAACAATAGATATCAAGTTAGCCAAGTTCTGCTTGATAAATTGAGTGTTCTGGTTAAACAGGGAACATCACCACCCTCTTCTGCTTCAATAATTGATAATCAAGAGAAACAGGAAAATCAGGAAAATAAAAACGATAAAACAGAAAGTGATTTCTTGTCCATATTAGGTCGTTCTAGAAATAATAATTAATAATTCTATTTGATATTTATCAATAATCTAATCTAATCTAATTTTGTTTTTCTAAATTGATGAGTAAAAATCATCAGCAAAATTTTATATTTTGTATTGACATTTTTTAATTCTATCAGAAGTGTCCATTATCTTATCTATTATGACACGTTAATGCATTTGAGGAAATTTTGTTAAGTATTGTTTGCTTTCCGACCATAAATCCAAAAGTTTATTTTGCATCCTTGGTGAATGGTTTAGGAATAAATCCCCGACCTATTGATGATGCTGAACTCGGACTATTACTGTTACTTATATTCGTGTTTAAAGATGGCAGTCTAGTTGGTATTGCTGATTTCAGATTTGAAGATAACGATGATGACGCACCACCTTCTGAAGTCTTCTTTGCTCGCGTTATGGAAGACAACGTAGGAATAGATGTTTTTATTGACGATAAGGTCGATGATGAAGGTTTCGTAACGATGGATTTCTTTGAACTGCCAGTAGTGTTACCCGGTGGTTTCCATGGGGGATTAATGTATGGTGGTGGTTGATAACTGCTACGTCTACTGCCCTCTCCCTCGTGCGTTAACGTCGATTGCATTTCTTCACTTATTTGACGAAATACTGCATTCTCGATGAAATCTTTTCGTTGATTAAGTTGCTGATTATTTCGTCAAAAGATTATTTGATTAAAAATTTAATACACAAATAAAATGATACAAACACAATCTTTTAATATCCCATACCTGCAAGCTTGTCAACACTTTGGTTATATTGAGATCACGCCGCTCAATCTGTTCAGCGAATTTTGCACACTATTGAATTTTATCAAATATATTTTAGTGATTTAATTCAATTTAGTCGACGGATATCCGTAATTTAATCAAACCTGGTCTTCCAGAGCTTTTAGTCTCTCACGTTCATTATCTAATGCTTTATTTTTTTCTTCGAGCTGTGCGCGAAGTTGCTCATTGAATAACGCGAGTGTATTTTCGGCTTTGTAGGTGAATGCTTTAGTTTCGTTAGAAACCTAAATTGCATAAAAAACGATTGTACAAGATATTGAATAAGTTTTCACTAGTGCAACTAACTATAGAATTAACGATATGAACGAACCTCCATTTGTGTTTTCTGAAAATCGAGCAATTCTTGAAGCTGAGCATTTCTCCGATTCAGAGATTGTATCTGTGCCTCCAAATCCCTAATAAATTGCGGTTACATTTTATTAACAGTTAGATAACCATAATTGATCATTAATTAATACAAAAAAATAATACTTACTTATTTGATTCTCTCATTGAATCAACCTTAACTCTAGCACCTTGTTTTTCAATTTGTAATCGTTCTTCAGCCTGTATCATACGACCTTCCAATTCTTTATATCGAGATTCCCACCGTCGTTCATCATCTCTCATATTTGTGTCCAAATTTCTGGCACGTCGTTCAGCTTCCCTATATTTAACTTCATATTCGTCAGCACGAGTTTTGACAGATCGAAGATCTTCAAGTTGATCTCGTAATGATGCCAGCTGATCAAGAAGCTCTTCGTTTGTATTCTGATTGATTTTGATTAATACAAAGGATCAGCGCCAAATGATAAAATATAGATACAAAAGTCATGTTATAGAAATAGATACCCGTGTAGCCTCAAGCTCTCCTTGATTCTTTTTTGCTTGTTCTCGCCATTCTTTTGTGGCTGCGTTAGCTTTATTGATGACACTATCGAATTTGCTCATTTGACGTAATTTAATATCCATTTGTTTTTTAAGTGCTCTATTTAAAAAAAATCATTATAAGTATTTGTTTCAGATTTTCGAAAAGACTTTGTTCAAATGGGATGGAAACTTGCTCATATTGTTCTTGCCAACGAGTATCAATTTCTTTGGCACGTCGTTCAAATGTCGTGTGCACGTGATTCAAAGTCTTGAGTTTTGATAATAAATGTTCATGGAAAAGATTAAAGTTGGTTGAGGGTTTCGGAAAGTTGGGCTATAAAATATAAAGATAAACACACATATAAAAAAATTAATAAAGCATTGCAATATTAAAATTTTGAGCAATACACAAACCTGCTTAGTACCATCCGACATTATCGTATCAAGATATTGGTATGTTGTTATCAACAATGTGTTGCGCTCAATTATTTGATCACGGTATTGAGTCTCATGTGAAAATGTCGACTATGAAATCAATAGCAATGATTTGAAATTGGTTTTGCTATAATTTGAACTAAAAGGAATAGTTATTATCATTACAATTCAAACCTTCTTTTCTTGAGACAAATTACTTTCAAGATGTGTAACTTGAGATTTTAGCTCATCAATAGTTGAATCTTTGTCACGCATATCCTGCATTTCAGAAAACAGGCGAATTTAATGTCTATTATAATGGGGAAAATGTGCAAAAATTCTTAATTTACCATTTGAACATTCCTGCACATTTCTTCTGCCTTGATACGTGCAGCCTCACTGCCAGTTAATTTTTCGTTGAGCTTGCTCTTTTGATTATTCTAATTATACAGAAAGGTTAATAAAGATTGAATTTAAATAAAAAGGAAATATATAACTGTATTACATACCAAACGTTTAACTTCATCCTCATATTGAAGAATAATTATTTTTTTACTCTCGAGTTCATCACTAACTGTCTCAAGTCGAGAATTGGTTTTTTCAAATTCTTGACGCATAGCATCCAATTCCTAGATTTCAGTCAAATTTTAGATCAAAAGATTTTTTTTAAAAAAAAAAAAGAATCTCATGAATTATATTTACCACCCGAAGCCTTTCTTGTTCTTTAGTATATCTTTCCAAAGTGTCCTTTGATCGATTTGTTTGATTACCAAGTTGTTGACGTGCATAATGCAAATCATCATCTCGCTCTTGAACAGTTATTTCTAACTCTGAAATTTTTTGTAATTTCTACGATTTATAATCAAGAATAGATGAGAATTGATAATTGGATAAAATTAAAGTAGAACGAAAAAAATTATCACTACTTCTTCTAGTTCATTTAAGGTTTTTTCATGATTTTTCTCTGCTTCTCTTTTTTCTTTGCGAACTTTTTCCAATTCCTTTTCGAGATTTTGTTGTTCTTTTGAGGTGGCAACATTGCGTTGTTCTGCTTCGACACGAACTCTGTTTTCAAGATCAACAATCTGAGCTTTATAGTTTTCTATTTCGCGGTGAAGATAAGCAATTTCTTTGGCGCTAGTCTCTTGAGATACCTGAAGCTCTGAAAGTTGCGTTTTATGTGTAGCTAATTTCTAAAATAATCAAGGGAATAAGTATTTGAGATTTTGAGTGATTATTTGATAGATTAATTATCTTGTTCTACTCACTTCCTTTAATTCGCTCACTGATTCATCATGTAATTTTTCTTGAGATTCTGAATTTCGCTTCAAAGATCTTATCTGTTTTTGTAATTCTTCAATTGTTTCCAAAGATTCGCTTTTTGTCTATTAGCATAATAAAAATATAAATTATGCAGAATTCAAATTAATATTAATACAAACTTTTAATTCAAACCTTATTCAATTTATCCATTAAATTTTGATTTTCTCTTGATTTTTCGAATATTTCTGCATCAACCTAAAAAAATATTACACAAGAATAAACAATAGCATACAGAGAAAATCAATTGGTTATGTTTGTAGTGTATCCTTACATTGTCAAGAGTTTGCTTCAAATCAGATATCTCTTGGACTTTTTCTTGAAGCTGTATTTTCAAGTTTTCATAAGAATCTTCTTCTTCTTGGCGATTATTATGAATCAAGGTCAAATCGTGAATAAGCTGTTCATTTTCATTCTGAACAATTCCCAAGCTCTATATAGATAGAAAGATTCAGTAAATTAATCGACTTTAAGAAATCAAACGTATTTGATACAACCATCATACTAATTATAGAATTATTATTCTATATAATTTACCGACCTCTCTTAAAACAATAATTTCATCTTTTAACTGCCCCGCCTCACGATCCCAATTATCTTCCAGCTCTCGTATTTCACTGGCATGAGTTGCATTAATTTCCTCCATCCCAGTAATTAGTTGATCAATTTGCATTGTTTTTTCTCGCAACTCTAAAGTCAACTCAGCAACTTTATCTCGTAAATGACCAAGACTCTAAGATACAAGATTTTAAACTAGTTAAATTTGGGAAAGAATTCCACGTCTGAAAAATAGTTAATATAAGCTACCTCTTCAAATTGATCATTAAAATCGCCATTAATAAGACGCGAAGATATCTCTCCGAGTGAAGTAGTCGCGCTTTTTGGACGTCCTCTTATCATTTCTAGTTCGGCATAGAGCTCATCAACATCATTATCACGTTCAGATAATTGCGCTTTAAGGGTGGCATTTTGCTATTTTTTTTTAATTAATATTAAAATGTTCTCTAAATGAATTGTAATTCAACAACATTAATTAATTACACATAAAGATTTTAAATCATACATACCGTTTTCAATTGTTGCATAAACGTATTATACTTCTCAGCTTCTTCCTGTCTAAACTTCTCGGCAAGCTGCTGAGCACGTTCTTCAATTAGTTCAGATACAAATTCATCGTCAAGCTCATCATCACGATTATTATATTTCTCTAATTGTGTAGTCGTGTCTTGTAATTGTCTATAAAGTACATTCCTTTCCTCGCGTTCTTTAGTCAACTCCGCTCTCAAATTTTCCACTTGCGAATTTTCAATATCATTGTTAATCTTTTGAGGCTTCACAAGTTCACGCTGCCTTTTCAACTCAGCAACACATTCCATGTATCGACGTTGAAGATTGGCGTTCTCTTGTTCAAGTTGTTCGATTTTGAAGAGTGCTTGTTTGTAGTCTTCTTCTTCCTCCGGGGACATTCCGTGTGGTAGTTTACATTGCGGCGTATTATTTTTCGCAAATTTTTCAAACGCAGTTTTTGATTCTTGAAATTGTTTTTTTATTTTCGCGTTCTCTAGTTTCATGTTTTGTATTTGTACCTATTAATGAAAATATAATTAGATAAATTTGAATTTAGAAAAATAATCGAAAGATAAATTTCTTTTACCTGCATTTCGATATTCTATAATGTTCCAAGTATTATCAACACATTATGTAAAAGAAAAATATAATCAAATTATGCTATTAAAAAAAAAGCGAGTAAAACAAGTTGAAATACACCACCTCTTTCAGTGCTTTGTCCATCTCATCAGGACCTAACTTGCTCAACTGTTCCTCCAAAAAATAAACCTTCATTTTCAAACTAAAATTTTCTTTTTTAATTTCGTCAATCACCTTAATCAAACATGTAAATGAAAAAAATAAATATCTTCCCATAGGGAACGAAAAAACCAATAATGATAACTTGATAACTCGTAAAATAATTACTCGTTCTTGTTCCTTCAAAGTCATTTTAGTATTTCGGGTAGAGGGCGCGCCAGCACTCCAACGTAGATTTTCGCGTTTATTGTTATTACTATTATTCTGAAATAACCGCGTTTCGTTCGCGTCAGAAACCCTACGCGAGTTTCCTGACAGTTCTTCGGTGTCATTGATACTGTCGTTGTTTAGTAAGCGCGAAACATTGAATTTTAGGTTACTATCCTCCGCTGGGTTATAGTCTCTTGCACCACCGTTCGCGTTGTTGTCACCACTATCAGAAGTTTTCAACAAAGACGCAGATGATTTGCCGGATTCTTGGAAAAAAGACGATGTGTTTTTTTCCAAGCCATCTAAACCATTGGCAAAAGTGGCATCAACGGAGCCAAAAGTTGCGTCCTCGTTATTGTAGGAGATTTCAGCTTCTTCCGTTATTGTGTGTGTGTGTGTGTAGTCTGTCATAAATCCTTGAGATTTGTCAATTTGGCAGACAGAGGGAGAAATTGTTGTATATTAACTAATGACGTCACATAGGGAAATAAAAAAGGGTTAAATTTGCAGATCTATAATAAAAAATTGAGTCGAAAAGTCGAAAAAAAATTCTAGTGCTGGATCCCATATTCATTTTTAAGGCTAAAATATGTAACTAAAAAGCTAAGAATCTACAATTAGAAGAATTGATCTAAAGAACTATTTACATATCAATTTTCAGCTAAATTGATACCAAATTCACTTAGCTATTATATTCCAAAATACTATATTAAATTTTTTTTACTAAAATTAATTTTTGGTATTTTAATTTTTAATATAGCCACATCTCAATATAATCACAATTTAGAAACACACTTTTTTATTTATCTCGGGATCATAGAACTAGTTTGTCAAAATGTGCATTTAAAAAAGAATGCGCATTTAGAGAGAGTAAATTTTATAAGTGCTTATAAGCTTGGAACTGAATTAGGATGCGCATTTAAAGAGAGTATATCTAATGTGTGCAATATGTGCGTTTAGAAAGAATTGACTATATAATAAAATATAAGAAATTAAGCCTTTTTATTTATTATTATTATTAGTCAGTTCTAATTTTATTTCTCAAGTGACTATATCAAGATATGACTGTAAATGATTTTGACATCATATTTGAAAATTAAATATTAAAAATAAATCAAATATATAATTTCAATTTTTAATTTAAGTCAAACTAATAGAATAATAATAATTTAAATTTTTTAATTATAATATTATTGTTTTATAAATAATAATATCATTAATTTTTGATTAATAAAAATAATTTATATAATTGAATATAATTAATTTTAATTAATTATAGTTTTAATTTCAATTGTATTTATATAATATTTTATTTAAGATAAAATTTATATTAAAATTAATATTTTACAATTCAAACAAAAAATTATTAAAGAAAATATAAAAAATATATAATATTTAAATGATTAAAATATATAAAAATTTATAAAATTATAATTTAAAAATTATAAAATTATATAGAATTATATTTTTTTATAATTATCTTATTTTAAAGATATAGTAGCCATCAAAAGTAATGCAACGCTTAAATTTTTTACTAATTATAATTAGTAAAAAATTTAAGTATTACATTACTTTTGATGGTTACTGTATATAATAATAATTTTTTTTATAATTATATTCATAATAAAATCTTTTTATAAATATTTTATTTAAAAATTTTTAAAATTTTTAAAAATATAATTATAAAAGATATAATTATATATAATTAAATATTATAATAAAAACTTTAATTATTAATTTTAATATAATATTATATAAAATTCTAAAAATAAAAATTTCTTGATTATATATTTTATAAATTAATAAAATATAATTATTTAATTATAAAAAATATAAATAATTTATATAATTAAGATTTGAAAATATTATATATAAATAATTCTTATTAAAAAATATATTTTTATTAAATTAGTTTTTTTAAAATTTAAAATATTTAAAATAAAAATATTTATTTAATTATTTTAAAAAAATTTTGAAATAAAAATATTTAATTTTATTAAAATTTAATAATAATTTAAAAATTAATCTATTTAAATTAATATTAAATTCAAAAAATCTTAAAATTTAATAATAATATTAATTTTTTAATTATTATAAATTTTATAAGATTAAATATTTTAATTTATTTTTAAATAAAAAATTTTAATATGAAATAAATTTTAAAAATACAGTAACTATCAAAAATAATGCAACACTTAAATTTTTTACTAATTATAATTAGTAAAATACATAATTTTTCTTATATATAAAAGTTTTTAATTTTACTAACA